ATCACTTTTTTTTATCACCTGGAACCCCCTTAAGTCCATTTTCTGAGTAACGTGAACAATTTGTTCAATTTTATCTTCATGTTTTAAAATTTTTTCGTTGTTTGTATCTTTATAATAATATATTTGCAGCATGCATTTAGTTTATGTATTCTTAAAAAATACAATGTGTAATACAAAATATAATAAACTTTTATTTGAAATACTACCGTTTTGTTTTTTAAAATCAATAAAAACACTAAATGTGTAAATATTTGTATAATAATATAGACTTCGCAAGTAGGTTCTTCAGTTTTATAATAGAACCAGATACCAGATGTCAACGATATGCAATTAGTTCGTCAGTCCTCAGTTAGCTTGATTCTGGTCGTTACCGAAATTATCTGTCGTCAGTCGATATTGTCTGGTTGGTATATTCCCAGTTCGCCGACACCCAGTTTGCCGACACTCAGTTTGCCGACACTCAATTAGAAGAAATACAGTTCAGTTATAAAAATATACCTATCACATAAATTAAATATTACATAGTCATTATAATAATAAAAAGTATAAAATTATAATAATATAATTACATTTATTTATCATATACATTATATTATTATACATAATTAATTATATCTTTATACCTAATAAAAAGTTCTCCCGTCAATAGTAGATCGCCATTCACCATTAATTATCAAGTCACGTAAGTTGTTAGGTAATGTAGGAATAAGTTTCATTTTTTTACGGTACACTGAACTTCAAACATTATTTAACTTAGGGATGGAATGATGTACTAATTCATCTTGTGATGATCCTTGTAATCCTGAACTTATAACTGATCTTCTTACTTCGTTAAAAGCTTGAGGAATTGGTTTCGTTGGATTTAGTGTGACAACATCCTATAGCAAAAATATTCTAAGTTTTTAATTTTGTGAAATACTTCAAAAAATTGATTCTTAAGTCCAAGGCCTAAAATTGATTTTAAAATCAATAAAAAATATAAATATAATTGAGGTGTCGGCGAACTAGGCATAAACCGTCTGGTTTGCTTTTTATTATAGAAATAATAAAAGCCCAGTTCACTTCTTAAAAAAATGTATCAACTATAACGTTCAATAACCTAACCTAAGGTAATAGTTGGTATGGTCTTATAGAACCATGGCATTCTAGTGTATCGCGTATGTGGTAGACGGTAGTAGGTATGTGAATAAATACAGCACACAACACAATTTATGATATAACACAATATGCACTTACTAGAGTATACGGTATATTGGTATATATTATAATAATTAATATTCATTACATTTACTATGATACCATGGGTAATACAGCCTATTAGAAGTGTAGTAGACGTAAACAATATATTTAATTGCTGGTTGATGTAAATAGTATAAAACATTTTGAGAACCAATGACTGGTCTGCAATCAAGAACACGAATCATCTCGATAAATACTAATTATTAATTTTCAATTATTTAAAATAATATTCATCATACTAATGAATATTTATAATCTTACAAATAATAATGTGTGACATTTTCAAAGTATATTTTTTCATACGATTATTAAAATTGGTCCTGTAAGTCATGTAACGTAGGTAAAATAGTCAGGATGATTTTTTATGGAAAAGTACAAAAACGGCTTCCTTAATCTACAAACTTACCTATTGTAATTCGTTGCTAATTTGCATAGGAAGGGCTTAGATAAGATATCTATTTTGTGCAAAGCAAGATAAATTTATTTTTTACTTTATGATACTATAAGATAAAAACCGGTGTCACTTGCCTATACTTCAAAAAGACGTTACATCCAGAAAATATGTGTTTAGCAATACATAACTGAACACAGCTTAACAACGGAACTATATCCTGGCACTCCTACTTTTGAATTTTGAAACGGAACCAAGAGCTTTGATTTGTGCATAGTTTGTGCGGAATTGTGCAGATACTCAACATTTTGTTCTTTTGAATTTTACGAAATACAGTTGTTTTAGCTACTGGGTTTTGAGCAAATGGTTGTACCTGCTTCCGATATTAATAATTATAATATTATATAAGGCCATATTTCTATTTTCCCGTTGGAATAATTTATGGTTAGTAAAGTTGTACTGAAAGTCCATAAAGGTGCTATGGAAATAGCAAATACCAAATAGTCAGGTATCCTTTAAATGACATTTATTTGTCGACACGCTAACGGAGATATATATGGTATATGATATTACGTGAATAACACGACATTACGATTTGTTGCAGTGGCCAAACGGCTGAAGCAGTGCCACTGGTAAGTACCAACTATTAATTATTACTGTATATCAGACGATGAATATTTATAAAAATTCACAAAATAAATGTTAATCGTAAAGTGTTTGAATCAAAAATATTCTCCAGATTACCATGGACTGATAAATGATAAATCATGCCTCTTAAGTAACCTGAGAAAAGTTTATATTTTAGTCACAAAACATAATAAACTATATACGATTATACAATTATATATTCATACCATATATATAATAAATACAAATTCACAAAGTAAAATCAATATAATAAATAATAATTAGTCTGGATTTGTTAGCACTAAAAAATCTAAAAATATTTTTCATAAAAAAATATATCCAATTATGCTTTTAACATTTTATAATATGCTTATGCGTTGACGTGTATGAAATTTGGTATGCAATGATATAAAAAATACATTTAAAAGGTATTTAAGTAAGTAATTACCAATTACTCAAATACTTTTAAATTAAAGTATTTAAAATACCACCCAAACACTGAAATAATAAAATATTTGAGTAATAGTCAAATACTTTTTAGAAGTATTTGAAATAATCTTCAAATACAAAAAATAAAAATTCTATTTAGTTCTGAAATAATTTATTATAATCAAAATGTTGTTTATTGCATTTTAAAAACATGATTCGTTTAATAATCAAAATGCTAATCAGACATGTTAATTCTTCTTTAGTGATAGTTTGCACCACACCAATGAACTTTTCTCTACAGAGAGTTATATATTAATTTAAAGCTTTATGCATTTTGATATCCCATACCTTCATGGCGTCATCGATCGTCGTCAACGATAAACGATAATGATTATTGGTAACCATTTTCTTGGTAAATAGGTAAGTAGTACTAATAATTAGTAATAATATTTTCATATAGTTAAATAATTATAAAGTATAATAGTTGGTAGCGTATAGCATATATATATATATATATATATATATATATATATTGTTATTGACTTAATAAGCTTATATTGGTGCCGATATACGGTTTCAATCACGTCGATGATAAACTGGTTCCCGGAGAAAAAAAGATTTAATCAAGCAATTAAGTAATCGATGAATTGTCCATAAATGATAAATATATAATATAATATTCGTATAACGTTGAAGCACAACCACGACGGCATGATATAAAAATATCACAAGAATTATAAATATAAACAAATTAGGAATTAAAATAATAAAAAAAAGTATTCAATAAAATTGTATTCAATATTAAAAAATAATATTTAAAATACCATTCAAACACTTCAAAATAAAATAATAAGTACTATTAAAAAAGTATCCAATACGGAAAAAAGTATTTTTTGAAAACCTAAAATGAATACAAATTCTAAAAACAACAAACGATCTTTTGCCCCCCTCTAACTATTTAAAACTGATATGACGCCACTGAATACACTCATATACGTTAGTCGTCTCATTTAGTTTTCGTTCAATCGCCTTGCTACCACAGCAGTAGCACGTCGATCTCGTCTCACTATTGCGGGTACCGTTCAGACTTCAGAGACTAAGTCACTTGCCCGTTCCGACGCCGCAGCTGAATATCCCTACACGTGACAAACAGCTGCACCGACAAAATATTATTATTATTCTAGCTGTTGCATATTTTATGTTACCGTAAACTTCTGGTTTTTCAGTTTTTAGTTTTCGCTTCCGTAGTCCCGTCAGTTTCGGGCTTTCGCGCCACCACTGCTGATACGATAACAGCCTTCTACCGGAAACGCTTACGCGGAAGGTAAGTGACATACTTATATGTATTGTATTGTCAACAAATAACAATCATAATATTATAATTATATCCCTGAATGATAAAGCCGCCCCGGTAAAGTTGAGCATATTTTTTATTTTTTTGTACTATGGTTTATACATTATTATACTACCTACCTAGGCACTTTTTTTTCCTTGTGACACCACCGCACTTGGGCTGAACTGTTTGCACATTGCTTGGCTCCCATTTAGCATCAATTATTAACACAAAGTGAAAACATACAACCCGTACAACGGTGTATTACCTCTACATGGCCCTAAGTACGATTTTCCTAAGAGTGGCTAGTATGTAGCACTCGGCACTCAGTAGATGTTTACATTACAATGATATTGTCGTTACGCCCTTTACAGATGTACACAAATTAACGAACTTTATATTTATAATAAGCACTTTAATTAAACTTTGACGTCCAGTGGCGATCGAGTCACACGATCACCAATCACTGCTCCTCTTTCGGTCTTCCCATATTACTTATATATCAATATTACAATCGAATCACTATTGGCAGTATCGATATTACGTTTAACCTAGTTACATTATACTTACTGATTATGCTTAAAATTATACTAATTGTTATTGTATTACATAATAATTGTTATCTAATCCTAATTTGGTGGAATGCATAATTGTTTCTATGTTGTTACTTAGCTTATTGAGTAGGTATTGTATAATTTGATTTGTTTTGTTTTGGTATTTTACCCGTTACATATGAATGTTTACTTAACCTAGTTAATAGTTTTAATTATAATATTTTTTTATATATTATGCATGATACAAGTTTACAACAATATAAAATGCTTAAGGCGGATTCGAGTATTGTATCGTATCCAATGACCTCTCAATTCAACTTACTCCTCAAAATCTAAACATTAAACTTACATATAATTTATTTTAAGTGATAAATACTAAATAGTTTATCAAATACATTTTTTTATATTCTTTCAGTATTAATTGAAAATGTCAACCAATGATAGAAAAACAAAAATGAGATCGAATATTAAATGGCATCGGCAAAAACGTCTTCAACGTATAGAATATACTGATGATACATATTCAAAATCTAAAACCGAATCAGTTTCAAATGATATAGAAAAATCACATTTGAATTATAATATTGAACCGACCATTGAAGTAATAAACCCTGAACCTTCTGTAACAGTCATCAAAAAATTATCTGAACAATTAATTGAAGAGATTAATAATTATGGTAGTTCAGATAAGAGTGATGGGGGAAATGTTTGATTATTCCGAAAAAGTCACAATACAACTATCAGATGAACTAATTGAAGAGATGCAATATTCAGATAATGATAATGGAATAAGTTTTGAAGATTCGGATGATTATAATATTTCTGCTGGAACTGTAGATTGGAATGAAGCTTTCCAAATACCCAATGAGAGTGATGGATGAGAATGACAAGAATGACGAAATTAATAAAACATGTAAAGTACCTATCTATCTATTTGTTCATCGATAATAATATAAATGATAAAATTATTTTGTTTCTAACTAAATTTTAATGTTGTTCTAAGACTTAGATAATAATGACAACAGTGATACCCCTGTATTGGACGTCAACGAACCAAACACTAGAATGAGTTTACGGACCAGAAAAAAATATTAATTCTGAAAAACATAGGAAAATATAGCAACCTAAAAATAAAAAACTTTCTATGAAATGGAAAGAAAAAAAAAGAATTAAAGGAGCGAATGTACAGAGAAAAAAAAGTATCAAAAGCAAAAAGAACAACTGCAAAAAAGGTTAGACGAGATCATTCTCAAATCCTAGTTATAAATTATAATATACTATTATGTGATGGTTTAAACTATAATTTATAAATATCAAATTAAGCTCAAAAATGTTTCATAAATGAATCCATAATCAATTGGTTACCTATATAGTTTTAAAATATATATAATAATAATTCATCTTCATTACAATATTATTATTATTTTATAGTATATGTATCAGACTTTTATGCTACCCACTAGAAAACTATAATAAACTCTAAGTTATAATCAAATACTATCCTCATGGATATGATATGATATAAAAAATTAATTGTTGTAATTAAAACAAGACAAATATCAATATTTGTTTATACTTTTTACAATGTAAGTAATTAATTATTACTTATTAAGATAAATACTATCAGAATACTATCACGCAAACATGGTTTAGGATATTAAATTTGAATATTATTTCACAACGATGAATAAACACAGCCAATAGAATAAAAGTATGTTATAGGTACATAAATATTATATGTATAATAATTACAATCAATTAGTATACAACACACATAGTTAGCAATTACCATACAATGATGAGTACCATTTTATATAATGACATAGGTATAAAACATATTTATTTTTATTTTTATTTTAAACTTTTCCAACTGTATAATACTATTTTTAAAAAAAATAATCCAATGATATTGCAACTTTAGTTTATTAATTAAACTAACGTATATTTCAGTATTTTGTCAAGATACAATATTTGAAAATCCCAAGTTTTGTATAAATAGGTACAATTTACATTTTTACATTTAAATCAACTTTAGTAGGTACCTACTAATTATTGTTATTTGTAAATTATTGTATGGTTAAAAATATGAAAAATGTTTCACAAGGTTTCTCATAAGTGTTCAAAATGAAACTAAGAAGTCGAAACCGCTGAGTCTCATACTAAAAACAGTGAACCAAATCACACTGTTCTTTAATCTTCAATAGGTATCTATATTAAATAAATATTAGAACTTTTACATATAATAATAACTCAACCAAATAAATGGTAAGCTTATGACAGAAATTAATTCAACCTACCGTATTACTATAATAATTGCAAATTTAATTATTAGTAATATAAATATATCATACAATTGTACTTAGTAAAATAAAGGCTAAATAATAATGTTTATTTGTGGGGGTGAGACGTGATTGAGAGTAAGCATCGGCTACTGCCACTAGTTTTCGGATGGGTGATCCCCCGTGTTCGAAGTGCGCAAAAACATTGCCACACATACACGTATTTCTAACCGACCGTAGCAACCGTCCCAACCCAACTGTACCAAATATACAAACCTTACACACTAATAACCTCAGTCGTCGAAATCTTAAAAAACCTAAATAAAAAATAATAACAATAATGGTAATTAAATAGTATTTCTTTTTTCTGAACCGTTATTATTATTGATAATATTTTATATTGAATATAGATTTGTTTTTATATAGACTGCAGCATATGTTAGGAATTTAGTGCGCTGGAAATTGAACCCGTACTCACAAACAGCACACAGCCAACCCCCTTTTTCTCAGAAATAACGACCCGGAGAATTCCGAGAACGTTTCCCTGCCGTTTTTAGCGGCTATGCCTATAATTCACCCTCGACAAATCAATGATGGCCAAAATATATGAAACTGTACATCGTCGCTTGACTGGTACCACATTTTGGCATCACTGCCCCACCCGTCCTCCTGAGATCATCGGGTCTATGGTATGTGTGTATACAGCCGACCTCGGTATATGTGGGGTCTTCGTCGCCAGTTTTTAGGGTCGTAAACACACCCCTCACATTACCCGGTCGACGTTTCAGCTGCCGGTCTCGGGTCTCTGCGCTTATAATATAATATAATATACTTTTGTACCTACGCATTTTCTTGTCGTTTTTGGTTTTATTATTATTACCCTCACAGCGTGATATCCTGTCTGTATAATATTGTATCCATATTATCTCGTTTTAGCCATCGTAGGTTCATCGTGTATACAAAAAATATAGTGACTACGAATTACAAACTCTTAAGCCCCTAAACCAGTCAAACACGTTTTTCAATATAAAATATTTGAAATAGGGATATTTTATATACTATATTATATACATATAGTAATGTGTTTAGAACGTCTTAAAAGCGTCTCGTTTTGAACAGATAAAAAAAAATACATATATAATATTGTTCGGCACTAAAAACGACCGGAATGGCGGAATGTAATATTTTACTGTATATAACATGGGCCAAGGGTGTGGCACGGCGTCAGTGTCTTATTTCGATTGAAAGGTATTTGATATGGATCACATAATGAGTATTTTGTATCTATATATACTCTACAGGTAGGTATATAATATTATTTTATCAAAAAACATGTTAGACAGTATTACATTATTTTTATTTAATACCGTGTATAGGTATACAGAAATAAATTTAATGTAGGTATAATACCATTAAAACCAAAAATTTCAAAAACCTTTTACATATTAACTTGTTTATTTTAAATTAATCAAATGAAAATATTTCAACGGCCAATTAAACTGGTTCAGGTCTTAAGTACGTCACACTCGGTTGTGTTATCTCCGCCTTACAAATGTACAACATAGCAACAACTATTTGAGAGGGATAATTTTACTCCCGCTGTATTATTATAGTACGAGTAGAATTACGAAAATGACATAGGGAATAAACTGTATCTGTGTCGTAGTGTTTTTATTATTCGGATATCATAAACACATTTAACGTTATCAGTTTGAGAACATAACTTTTTTTTTCATTTAATTATTAAAAATTATTGGTAACTGCTATTAAAAATTAAAACACTCCGACACAGATAAAGTTCTTCCCTATGTGTTGTGGAACTTTGGTAATTCTACTATAAATACCTACAGAGGAAGTAAAATTGTCCCGCGAAAAACAGTTATTGCTGTGTAAGACACAAACACATGGGCGTGTGACTAGTGTTGGGCAAATTCCCGGGATTATAGTTTCTGTAATTTACCTGGAATATAATAAGTTTTTAAATATTGATCATAGGTTTCAATTTCAAATTTTATATTCAACTTATGGTTGTAACTGATTCAAATTACAGATCATTATTGATATTATGTCAGTTTAGATATTATTTATTCTTTTAAAAAAAGTTATTAAGTAACTATAATTTAATTTTTTTATTGAAATGTGTACAATGATCACAAAATAAACGATCCGACTTTCATTTTTATATGTTGAAAAAATAAAAATAAACATGCTGAAATTGAAATACTGTATAACATAAAAATAATAATTTTTTTTTTTAAAGAAATTTCTCAAGAGGTTGGGGAATTTTCTCTATTCCCGGGAACATTCCTTGGGGAATATTCCTAATGACATATCACTAGGTGTGACGTCCCCTTAATGATACATTAAATTAAGCAACTAGTTCAGTTAGGTAATGCCAAAACCTTTGCTCAAATATGTTTATTATGAAACTTTAAAAATATTATTTGTGTTTAATTATACTTATGCGTAATGCACATAAGTCATAAATAATATTTTTTGTGCATATCAAGTTCAATTGTTTTACTTTCATAAAATCGACTGAACATTCAAAACATTATTTATTTTGACACTTACTTCGAAGAATCTTATATCGAAATGGATATTTTAATTAGTTTTACTCTATCCGCATGACAAAATGCTATGATAGTTTATTTTTGATATTGATAATTTGAAACATAATACCGCCATACTGGTAGTCACATGAACCTTGACATGATATGAAAAATTGTATTCTAGATACTCCTTGTGTAATTTAATAATAAACGGACGTAATTTGATTTCTATTAATTTAAAATAAATATATTTAACATGATGACGTAGGTACAACTATAAACTATTACCAATAGCTTGATTTAATTGAATAATCTATTAGGAAATATCACAAAATAACAATCAAATAGAGATTATCATACCATATAATTATATTATGTATGTCATATATGAAGTGATATTTAATACATTTTAAATAAAATTTATAATATAATTAAATAAATTATTTAATATAGTACCTATTATGTATTAAATTATTGGGTGATTGTGATCGTATAATATTTTGTCATATTATATTTGTAAATTTGGAGCAGAACAATTAAGGGTAATATTAGGTACACCCGTAAATGGAGTCCCCCCTAATAGTTTAGCAAAAGGCCATAATTATTTACTTGTAACTATTGCAGATTGAACAATTTTATTGAGACAGTTCAGTTAATATAAATCATTTATTTATTTTATCCAACAGTCAAAATGTAATGCAATTATAATAATTGTTTAACGACGAACATTATTAGTACAACAATAAACGAGTTACACGATTTTTGTTTTAATTTTTAATCAAAGGCACTATAATTATTATGCGAAACAATTATTTTTAATTCATGCCAATAATACCGAGCATAATATACTAATATTCTTAAACTTAAGATAAATTTATGCATACCTATTTAGGTAATATATAATGTTTAAAAATTATAATATTCATCCATGTTAGAACAATAAAAATAAAAATATAAATTTTTTAAAATTATTATACCTTTCATATTTATTTGATTCACTCATTTTTACCTATGTAGATAATAATATGATTTTTACTATCTATTCTGTAG